ACAGAATGTATTTGCTTAAGTAGAACTTACTATTGTAAACCCAAAATCTGTTAGACAATGGGCTGAAAATAATTGGTACCTTCTAAAAATAGTATGTGATTTTGATGCCAACATGGCGTGCTGTACCACAGTATTATCTGCACAAAGATAAGAATAATGCAGCAGGCTGGCATGGAGAAACTACATAGTGATAATCACTGGTGGTGATTGACCTCTTTATTTATAAGTAGTAAAGAAAAAGAGCTAAACATGTTTACTTATTCGTACCTGAATATTTTCTTTATCACCCCTATCTTAACATTTGTAGTAGACAACTTTGTCCATTTGGGGTGACAAAGCCAACTGTCTTGCTTAATACACATTTAGAAAGAATAGTGTAAAGGGATTAAACCACCTAGATAGCTGATAACCTTACCCATGACCCCCATGGATTAGAACAGTTAATTGAGACAAGAAGCAGTCCAAATCCTCTGAGCCGGCCAGCTCTTAAACCGGTCCCTGAAGCATCTCCCCCCCCCCCTGCAGCAGTCTAAAATGATAATGAGTTATCATTTTCTATACACAGTGTACAGGACGTGGGGATGCTGAGGGACATACCATCGCTGCAACGGAGGAGGAAACAAACTGAACGGAGTGGTGTCACAGCTGGCCATCTCTGAAGAAGAGAGAGAAATTATTATTTTTTTCAATCCTAGTCAAACACAATCAGTTAACCGTAGCCCCACTGCAAGTTTAAGAATTTTTAACTGGAGTTCTTTAAAAAAAAAAGGTCTTATGATATGTCATATGCATATGAGCTAAATAGATGCCATTAAAGTCCTGACTTTGGACATTACATTTAATAGCCACATACATTATCAGAATACCACATTTTTCACAGCAGAGGTGCTTTAATCCCTTGCCGCAAACTGAACACATATATGTGAATTATTCCATGCTGCCACATATATGGTCTATGTTTTGTGCTGGAAGTATGTATATTCCCATGCCCCCAGCACTGTGACCGTGCTCTCACCGACAGCTGCTAGTAACACAATGCTGATCAGCAGCTTGTAGGACAGGCTCCCAATACCATGATCCCTGTGACCGCAAATCACGATGATCACATGGTCGGGAAGCCTATCTAACGCCTCATAAAGGGCGGGCGGGAGCTGCTGGTAAGGGTTTAATGATGGTAGTAATAATAACAGTTATTTGGTTGTAAGTGTTCAGTTCCAAAATGATGGATTGATATCACTGTGCCTTCGTTCTTTACCTTTACATTACACATATTTCATTATAACAAATAATAACATGCATTAATGCGTAAAGCTTGTTTGTCGTGTCTTTCGGGAGTGTGTATTGGCATGGAAGTGCATACACTTAAAATGCATTCATTGTAGACAGTCTTCTTTGGAGCCATCAGCATCCTGAGTAGCAGGCATGATTCAATCTTTGTAGTCTAATCACGGGACTTTCCTTTATTAATAAAGAAAGTGTTACAATTAGACATTAATGGACGATTAGTCATGTGATTGTGGGACATATTATCCTAGAATAGTCTTTTCCGGATATGTATAAAGGAGTTTTGGCAACAGACAGCTGTTGGTAAGATTTCAGGAAGTGTAAAATTGTCTATCTGCCAAACACACTTGAGCATTCACGGGAAATAAAAAATACATTAAAGCTATATAGACTGCTCAGTTTTCCTTTTCAGTTGTTCCATGTGAAAAACAAATTCCTACACAGGTGTTGATTAATCTCCCACAATTTACATTCTTTTCCATGGCTCAGAAAAATATATGATTAACAGCTTATTTTAAGGTGACAATTATTTAAAATCACATAGGTCACCAGGTTGTGGGTATAGACAATATTATAGCTGCATCGATGTGCTGATAAAAAAAAATATTTGAAAACAGAATTTCTGCCTCACAAGGGGATTAATAGTACTAATAGTTTCTTATAGGACAAGGTTATCTTTCTCTAAACTTATTCTAAACCCCCCAGCCCTTATAAGCTCAACTACATTAACCCCATACCAGTTGCTTATTTACCTTTGTATCACACTCACAGCTCACTCCACGTCTACAACCAAATTCACTTCAGAGGGGCTGTATATGGAGACTGGAGATCCTGAGTATACAGTCCTATTCAGGTCTTTGGGGACTTCGTTTGCATGCGGCCAGCAATGAAGAAAATGTTCTCATGGAATATGTAAACACTGGAGCCATGGGTGTGATACAGAGGTAAGTAAGTCATTGGGGTGGGGGTGGAAATCTTAGTGCAGTTAGTAAGGTATGTAACACAGTATTTTTGTAATGATTTAACTACCTTTTAAAGCCTCAACTTTTTAATGAACTAGCTTCTCTCATCAATTAGTTTAATGTTTTATTACCACCTCAGATGGCTTTTTCCTACTTTCATTAAATACCCCACAATTACCAGTCTGAAGCTATTGCCATTTTGAAGAAAATTACCTATGAATTCATCTTTTTGTATTGACTTTTACACAAAAAAAACCCAAAACCTATAAAATAGGAAGGATGCAGTATATCAATGTGGAAGTCGGCAGGAAGAACCACTGAGCGCAACGAGTGTCAAGCAAGATTAACCCTACTGGAAGTGTAAATTTTTCAGTAGACTTCAGAGAAGTATTTCTCTTTCATGGAGCAGGGGTTAAGCAGCAGCAGCAGCAGCAGGAGAGGTAAGTATTTACAGTGCACAAGTGTTCATACACATCGATATCAAACAGTGCTCAAATGCAGATTGATGTTCATATAAATCTGTATGATATACTGCGATTGGGAACTAATGCCTCTAAGATAATCACGGAGTATCAAAGGGTATCGAAGATAATCAAAGGGTCCAATTCTTCAGGAGAACAATAGGAGGAGATGTATGTGCAACATCGGATAGGTCATAGGGAAAGTCCCTGAAATGCATCCCTATCTACTAGACAATGCAATAGGTGTCTGGGTGGTAGGCAAAGTTTGCTGACATGCACCATAAGTTGAAGGGGTTGTAACACGGGACAGGACAATGTGTTCTCAGCGTCTGGCTGGATACTAGCTTGCTTGCTTTGCATGATGAAGGCCATGAGCTGCATGGTTGGGATACAGCACATTATGCTTTATGCCTTACTGCACAAGTTTCATTGTGAGGTCAACATTATTGCTTTTACCTTCATATTAAATACCTCTTGTATAACAACAAGTACACCTCTAGAAATGTTTAGCAATGACAATCTACAAACTAAGACTTATAAATAACTGCAGGCTTTTTATTCTTTGCATATCTTATTGTTCTTTTCCTCCCCATTCTTCTCACAACGGTTATTTTAACTAAGGGCATATTACTATATTTCCTTTTACTTCTTGGAACTCTGCCACATGTGAGTAGGACATGTGACCAATCAAAACATCTCAGGGGGGAAAATGCCTTTTCCTGAGATCTCCTGAGATTTCAGATGAGATTTCCAAGCAATGCTCTGCTGATGTAACCTTTTCCCACGATGCAATGCTTGGGCACATTACGTCATTTGTGCATCAGGTAGGTAGGTGAAATAAAAACATGTTTGTTTAACTAATGAATGTAAAATTATTTCATATCAACATACAGAGCTGTGTGCTGAGGGGAGTAAAGGTCTGCTTTAACGCTGAACTTTAAGCAAACAGCTAGAACACACATACTCTGAAGAGAGGTCCAGGGCCTGGCCTTGCTATTTGGAAGGGGTGCCTGGATCAGAACACGGGTTCACCAGAATTATACATTCTCCTTAAGGTCCTCCTCGGCTGATTGACAGCAGGCAGTGCGCGAGTGCAATAGCCAGCCATTATTGGCTTATGCAATTTGAAATAGCCAAATAGCCAATAGCAGGCTGGCTATTGCTGCCAGCTAATGGAGTGGAGACTGATTGTGGCTGACAGCAGGAGCGCAGCGTGGGAGAGGGGGGGGGGAGTAGGCGGCACGGGGGAAGGAAACTCACAGACTGTTAGCCGATTACACCCTGTAAGGAAAAGCCACTATCTGTCCCCTCTGACACAGACCACTGCAGCCGAATACAGCCTGCCTGTAAGGAGAAACCACTTATACTCTGCAGCAGGGAGAAGGGGACGGGCACAGTTACTGCGGTGGCTGTTTCTCTGAAGGGACGCTGCTACCATTTCTCTGTCCCTCCCCAACAGCGCCCTCAGGCGGCTGCTTGTGCTGCCTTGCAATAGCACTGGCTTCCCTTGTCTACTACTGGACAATAAAGGAGCTGCAGTACATGAGGAAAACACTCTGCACTCCCCTCCTCTAAGCATACTGTGTAAAACAAAAAGAGCCTTGATTGGCTGTCACTACTGTCCCTCCCTCTTCCTCTGTTAAGGAATGTAATGTATATATAACTAACTTGGTTAAAAGGTGTTTTTAATGCCCGTCTGAAATTCAGTTTTACAGCTGAGCTGCAGGCATACAACTACATACGTCGTTAAGTACCTTAACTATTAACAAAAATGTATCTTATCTATGTATCACTCAGCTGTAGATCCTTCAATCATGTCTGAATTGGTGCTGACACTGTCCTTCCTTCTGGACGGTGGCTAGTTTTGTTCTCCATGGTCCATATGTGAGTTGTAAAGTAGCCACCTCTCCAAGCTCAGTCCTGTGATGGACTACAATCTCTATGAGACTGTATTGTAACTTTCGAGCAATTGGGAAAGTTATCTGTAATACATACGGTATTGTATAACTGCTACACTAAGCTATAAAAAAGTTTCAAGTTGTATTGGAGGAAACAGAATTGCATTCATTTATCACTTTTTAATCTGCCTAGAGTTCAGCTTTAACCTCCCTGGCGGTATGATTTTTTCGTTTTTTTCCTTTCCTTTTTTGGTTCTATTTTTTTTTGTTTTTTGTTTTAACTTTTAAATCTCCCGCTAACGCTCGCAAGGGACAGAACCTGGAAGACGGATGTCAGCATCGGCTGGAGGACCCAGCGCGGCTCAAGGAAGAAGGTAAGAGACGTGCTGTGTATTCCCGAGTGTGGCTCGGGGTTACCGCTTATGGTACAGAAAATTAACCCAGAGCCACACTTAACTTAAGGAGGTTAAGGAATAGTGTCCTAAAAATCCTCTAGAATTACTGTACTGGTTTATAAGATAAACCCAATTGTGAATTTAGATAAATATTTTCAATGGTGCTTGCTTTCTTTAAACAACTCTTTGGTATCTGGCTCACACATCAAAGATTTTGAAGCGGGAAGTAGATGATTTGTGTTCAGTTAATGTGAATAGATTTCCTGTAATCATTTTCCAAGATATTAAAAAAATCCCTACTACACTTTCATATCTAATGTGACAATGTTTAAAGTGATACTAAACTCAGAAGTAAAATTTTAAAAATGCTAAAATGCTTTCATAATACTAGGGTATTATGAAAAATGTATCTAATTTGTGTATCACTCGGCTGTAGATTCTGAAATCATCTCTGAATTGGGGCTGGCACTGTCCTTCCTTCTGGGTTTAGGACACCAAATCCGGACCAGATCTGCAAGAGTTTCTGCATATGCAGTGCAGTGCTTTTTGCTCCGGTTTTTCCGTGTTCCGGTTTGTTTTTATTTTTTAGGCCTAAAATGGGCTTTTAGGTGTAGTTGAGTGTGTTTGTATGCATTTTTAAAGCGTTTGCATGTGTTTTGGTGCATTCCAGAGCAGAAAAAATAGGGCATACTGCAGTTTTTCCACATGCTCTGGAACTGAACGCTGTTGTGTGAACTAGAGCCCAAAATACCATTGGAATACATGGGATGCACTTTTGATGCGTTCTGTAACTGTTCTGCATCTGCTACGCACTTGGTGTGAACAAGTCGTTAATGGGACTTCTAGGGTTACATGGGAAAACATCAATCCTTTCAATTACATGCTTGGGAGATGCCTTTAAAAGAGAACTATGGGGTAAGTGTTTTTCCTCATAGTTCTCTTTAGGGTCATGGGAGGACATAAACTTGCATCCTCCCGTGATGCAAAGCTCAGTATGTTGCAGGCTATTGCTTGCAATACACGCCGCAGCTGGGACGGATCCCGACATTACTGTTGAAATCTACCCAGCTGCGTGAGTGACAGCTGGCTAGAGGCAGAGCCAGCTGTGCCTGCCCCCTCCACCGTTCGTTCCTCCACTCAGTGCTGGAGGATCGGAGAGGGGAGGAGGAATCCCTGCGGGGAGCTGTGACTGACAGTCGGACAGCCGGCTAATCGGGAAATGAGCGGATTGGTGCATGTTTCTGCTCACTTCCCGATCGATAGAGCCGACCTGTGACAGCTTCTTTGTTACAGGTCGGCTCTAACTACTGTGTTTCCCCCGAAAATAAGACACTGTCTTATATTTTTTGGGGGCTAAAAAAATTATACTAGGTCTTATTTTCGGGGTAGGTCTTATTTTTTTTTTTTAATGTACAACAATCCAAAATGAATGCAAATCCAAATCGTCAAAGTTAAGAATAGGGTGATCAGGGCAATCAGAGGTGCCGTACCTTTCCAAGAGCAATTTGGTAACCAATTGCTGGCCAGAATGAGTGAAGCGCGCTTTCACTATTCATTCCTCACAGGCGGAGTGCATTTGGTATCACTTCGCCTGTGACAGGAGCTGGCACTATAGAGGAAGCATCGGCTTGTGCGGCTTTGCTCCCTCTGCTGCTTCCTTGCTTCCTCTAGCGCTGGCTTTGTTGGCACCGCCGATTCTCTCCCGCCTTTCCCGCGGCTCTTCAAGTTTCCCCTTATGCAATCACCGGCCCTGGGAAAGGTCACAACTAGGTCTTATTTTTGGGGTATGTTTGGGGTCTTATATTTTAGCAATTCCCCAAAATAGTACTAGGTCTTATTATCGGGTAGGTCTTATTTTCGGGGAAACATGGTATGAGGATGAGTGGAAATCACTCACCTCATAGATTTTCTTTAAGCTGTATATGGTGTTTCGAATCAGTGGAACTCTCATGTACAGCATGAGTGACTCCATATTTTGGCCTCACATATGTTGCATGTGTAATTGTTTATTTTAAATGCTTTTTAGGAATATGAGGAAGTATTGGGGTACATGGCAGTTAGAAGGAAGAGTGTTGGAGTGCTGGCACTAAGGAGGAGGAATTTTTTTGGATAGACTTCTAGGGGAAGTTTCACCACTCTTCAATATAAAGGGAAAAATCTGTTGGGGATCTACTGTCGCCATCCAAGAGTGGTCGGTAGAAGGCAAAATGGCCCACTCTGAGTATGTGGTGCAAAGAAACTCCTTGCTGCATTTCCTGATGGTGTTAGGATCCACCGTACTGTAGGCATAGCTACAGGGGGGAAACCTAAGGGCATAGGATGGCATAGGTTTTACAAGGTGGTTTGGGTTAGACACTTGCCTCTGACACAGGCAAAGCTGTCTGTTTATATTTTTTCAGTCAGTATTTTGTATTTATAGATTTATGTATTTTTTTAATCTTTCCTATTCTTTTTCCTATCTTTTTTTTTTATTGTACGGCCACCCCTGATCTATACATTTAAAGAAGAACTCCAGGATTTTGAAAAGTTGACCCTTGCAGTGAGGCACCCCCACACACACATTAGGTGTGTGCAGTGAGGCACCCCACACACCTAATTTTTCTCTAGGGTTGAAAATAAAGAAGAAATACTAATACTTGATCCTCTGTCCTGCGGTAGTGACCGCTCACCTCTTTTCCCCTCCACTCGGGGGGTGGTATGTCCCTTGTCTTCACCTGTAATAGACCCATATTGGACATGAGAATGTCACTTAGACTGCCAGAGATCAGGGGAGAAGAGGCTGTGGGGACCAATATAGCATCTAAGGAGGACTAAGGATCGCTCTAGTATTTCTTCTTTATTTTTGCTGTAGATAAAACGAGTAGTTAACCCTTGCAGTGTTGGGGTAGCCCCACTGCAAGGCTTAACTCCTGGAGTTAAACTTTAAATAAAATTCCTAGGATTAAATCACCACTTTGTCCTTATGCAAAACTTAAAAAATGGGTTGCTTGAAAGATAAGGCTGTCAGCTCAGACACTGGCCTCACAGATGGGATGATGGCTACAAGTTCTTAGTGTTATCTGCCCATGGTTCTTGAATTGATTGCATCCCTGGGCTCTTTTGACAATGTGGAGGGTATTATTAGCATAATATAAAAGGTGGACACTGACATTCCAAAGGAGTTGGAAGTCTCACTCAAGAAACCCAATGAAAGAGAACAGGAAATATTAACACATACAACAACGCTGTAAAGCAGATTTACAGATCCCAGTGACACTGATATTGTTTTGCACTACAGCAAAACAATGCACTACAGCAACCTGAACACAGGGAGTCGGCCGGCTTACATTCCAGTGCGCCCTACATGTCCCGGAGTCCTGTCCTCCCGTGGTGCTCGTGTGGCCGACGTTGCACATGGGGTGTCCTGCACCTTTCCATCTGCAGCGTCTGACACATTCAGCCGGCAGCCGCACGAGCACCACGGGAGCATAGCCGTAGCCAGCTCCTTTTGTGCCTGAGGCAAGAAAAAAAAACAACATTTTTTTACATTTATTTTTTACTATTTTTTAATTTTATTTTCATTATTTATTTTTATTTAATCCGAGATCTTGTCCGTCCAGATTTTCCCGAACATGGCCAGTCTCGCGCCTACCTGGAAAACCCGGACAGGCAAGCCTTCAAAAGCACTTTTGCGGCCCCTGGGCTGGACCCACTCGGCCCTTTTTGGCTCTAGAAAAGTTAGGAAGGTCGCCAAGGGCGACGAAATTCCTTCCCCGGCTTGTAGGGCCGGGCCTCCTTCCCCCTGTTAAATGATTCCTTCCGGAACAGAGCATTTCTTTGCTTCATCAGTCTCCGATCTTGCGGAATGAACTCGGACTTCCCGCCAGTGGCTTTGGCTATAGCGGTGTCCAGTTTGTTGCCAAACAGAGTTTGACCTTCAAATGGGATCTTACACCACCCGTTTAGAGGTGGGATCAGCCACCCATGGTCTGAGCCACAAGGCTCTTCTGCCCGTGACTGCGGACAACATAACCCTGGCTAAGGATCTGACAACATCACCCGAAGCCTCGGCAAAAAAAGCCGATGATAGCCTGATGTTACGCAGAATGGACAGGATCTCGGTCTTACCCAGATCGTCCGAGACAGCGGCCTCAGCGCTGTCGACCCATGCCTCCAGAGCCTTGGCGGTAGCCGCCATGGCCACTGCTGGCTTACAGGCACCTCCTGCCATAAGGTAGAAAACGTGACAACATCGTCCAAAGGCAACGTGACATGCCTAGCCAATCTCATGAGAGCTGCGTCCACGACAGGAGATTCTTCCAACTGCTTAAAATCCTCTTTTTTAAAGGGATACAGCTTGGAAAACCAATTGCGGAAGGAAGCCTTCCGTTCGACTTGACCCCATTCCTCCTGGATGATATCTTTAATCTCATCCATGAAGGGAAAAGACAACATTTCTTTCCTAACATGCTTAACCCCTTCGTGACGGGAGACGTACACTGTACGTCCAGATTGGTCATCTTCATCCTCAGAAGAGGAAGAATTAGAATGGGGTTCAGAAGAGACATGGCCCCTACCGGCTCCGACCGTTCCCGACGGCCCAGGCCTCGCCCCGGAGACTGGCCTCTGACTCGGCTCGCCCTGCTGCAGAATCTGAGCTGCAGAGAACTCCTTCAAGGTATCCGGGAAAACTGTCTTCATTAAAGACATGACCTGAGAGGTGTCCGCATCTCTGTCCTTAGTGGCCTCAAAGAAACATGACTGGCACGCAGTCTTACCAGGCAAAGCCCTATTGGGACAAGCCCAACATCCCTCTGGGAGAGGCTGCGGGTGATGAGAAGTACCCGGCAGTGCAGAGGGAATCCGCTGATTTACAGACGGAGACCTGTTGCGGAGCCTCCTGTCATACCGCTGCGAGCGTTTGGCTAGCGGAGAAGGAGACCGACCCCGACTTGAAGTAGAGGATCGCCCACGTTCACGGCCACAACGTGACCTGGACCTAGAACTGGAAACATGAAAAATAAAA